ATTTAGTGGTTTTCTTGGAAAATGACATTGAGAAATCCAAGAAAAAATCTCGTTCACAAGGTCGGAAGAAAATATGAAGTGGCATTATCTGAAATCACGAAATGTCAGCATCGATATAAAGCTTTTTAGTGCAGGAACGCAATCTCACCACGTCGTTACCTAGAGTAAAAGCCTTTTTTGGAGGTACAAATAAATATTCCAGGGCTATTACAAAACTAGACTGCATGTATATTTCCAAGGAACTTTTTAGCTAAACTGCAAAATCTTTTGTAATTGCCAATTGACTAAATACACACACACACACACCTACACACACACACACACACACACACACACATATATATATATATATAAAGCACTAAAAACCAACAACACTGTATATCCTAAGTGTCGGATCTACTAAGTAGATACAAGGTCACGGATGGAAATTCATATAAAGCACTAAAAATGACCAACCACACGAACAATAATAATTGTCAAATTTTCGGGACGACCTGTCCCTTTCTCAGGACAAAGAAAAAAATTAAGAAGTCATAAAAACAAAGGAAATAGAGAAACAAAAACAACTAGCACTACTACTAAACTACCAAACACCTAATATTTACAGTGTTACATGTTTAATTTAAAGTTTATAAACAGTTGTGAACAAAGAAATCCGGCGCAGTGTACATCGTGAAATTGGTTTTCGGACAAGATGGTCCTTTAAGGGTCTTGACATGACACCAAGACATTTGTCAATCCAATTGTTTTGGATAAGATGGCATATTTTATATACTAGTACCAATCAGGAAAATGATCAATTCACAAATAAAAATAATAAGTGGTGCGTTAGCAATTTTGTCTAGTGTATATAACATTTTTTTGTATTCTCATTCAATTAAATAACTTGCTAATTTAAATGAATACAAGGATTTCTTGATTTAACACAATTTAGCAAAGGGGCGTAACTCTTAATTGCTTCACTTGTTCCAATTTTATACTCTGTTTGTCTTCTAGATACCCAGGAGAAGAGAAAAGACATATTTACTTATATTTATAAAAAAGTAACATTTATATTATTGCATTTAGTCTATTTGCTTAATACTCAGGAGCAGAGAAGATTGCCAAAGTATAACTATATTTTTGCTATCTACCCTGTCCAAATACCAGAACCACTGAACCAAACATTAATTTATTTTCAGTATGTATTAAATAAGCCCCTCCCCCGGAACTCTTGACCCTGAAGCCACATCTTTCACAATTTTGGAAGAGACATGTTTCCTTCTCATAACTACAGTACCAACCAGACCCAACCTGACACCAAAGCAGTCCCAGAAAGTAGTCCCCGGGACTGCTTTGGGACCGCTCTGGGACTGCTCTGGGACCGCTGTGGGACTGCTCTGGGACTGCTCTGGGACTGCTGTGGGACTGCTCTAGAAAGCAGACCCAGCAGTCCCAGCAGTCCCTGGGACTGCTTTCTGGGACTGCTTTGTTCACTCATGCGTGAAAAAGGTTCTGAGTGACATGATAGCTCCGCCCCTTGTGTATTCTGAATTTGCAGCTCCTTGTTGTTGTTTTGTTTACTTTCTGCAGAGAGGTGTTTAAGATAGAAACAAATATAAAAAAAACAAGTATTAATTTCTTACAAAAATTAAATAAATAGAGATAGTTATACATGTAATTACTAAATGTCTTAAGACGGCTGTAAATTTACACAATTGTAGTCTAGAATTAATTTTAAGAAAATAAAAGTAGTTAAAAAAGGGAAGTCAGGGGATGATTTTTATCCCTTAAATTACACTTCAATACAGGTGTTTGAAAAAAAAATTATCTAGGCCTATTTAATAAATTAATGCTGTCAAATTACATATGTACTCAAAGTTTGCATTAGCACTATTTAAAAACAAACAAACTTGTCATTTCAGTAAGATACATGTATTCAGAGGAACGTACTGTACTGGATTTTTTTTCTTAATTGAAAAAGCTAATACCATGCTTAAAAAAGAGCACTCCATGCTATTTTTTACCATCCTCAAATCAAACTTAATAATTTATTTAATGACCATGAAATAAAATTATTCTACCATTCTTCTGTCACATAAACAATGTGAACAATTATTCGGGGATTTATTTATGAATTAGTTTTTAATTTATAAACAAGTTATTAAAAGAGTACATTTATTTAGAAAATAAACATTTGAAAATATCGGGAATTGTGACTTGTTTCTTATTTCTTTGTTTGTGTTTACCTGGTCGGTTAATACAGCTGGATTGTATAAAATGGTGTCAACACCTGAGCTTTCAATCGCCTTTGGGCATAATTAGCAGAAAGTCAATGCATGTTATTTGGGTATCAGTGTTACACATCATTGAACACGCTGGTCAACATTGACCCTTATTTCAATCTATGTCCTGCAAAAAATCTTAGTTTCAATAATTGTGTATAAATTTATTTCGGGATTAATTAATTTTGAACATAATCTAAGGGTTCCATTTGCGTGATTTACAGATGTACACTCGAACATTTATATAATAAAACACTTAAAACTGAGAATCTAAAGATAATTTAATCAAGAAGTCATTGAAAATAATCACGACTGAAATATAATACTCGGCAATGTTTAACAAAGAATTTTTCAAAAGCTCCAATACTTAACAAAAATGCATTCAGAGTATAGTATGGGAATCGGCCTTGCTCTATAATTATTATTATCTATTTACAGCTAATTCTGGTATAAAATAAACAATTCAAGTTTAATTTTCTATATAAAAAATAAATATGAAAACCAATATCAATCACAAAAAAAAAGAAATTGGTTTATTTTGGTTAAAAATTAATATATCAAATAATTGTGTTTAAATATTCATGTTATTAATATGTGTGAACGTCTTTTCATTCAATAATTATAATTTGTTTCTATACGCGTACTGTGATTTTCTTAACAGTTCAGAAATGACTGTCGCCTAAGAATTGTAAATATTTGTTGATACTACTCAGAAAGAATTGCTCATCAATTTCAACTGCCTTTTATATAGTTGCATTGTTTATTGGTAATCTCATTCTGAGTAAGCTCCGCCCATCAAATTAATTAACCCCGCCCACTGGGACTGCTGGGACTGCTCTGGGACTGCTGTGGGACTGTTCTGGGACCGCTCTGGGACTGCTCTGGGACCGCTGTGGGACTGCTAAAGCAGTCCCAGAAAGCAGTCCCCGGGACTGCTCTGGGACTGCTTTGTGTCAGGTTGGGTCTGGTTGGTACTGTATTGTCGTTTATTAATTATTGAATAATTAGAAATTCAAGTAATGAGTACATGATAATTGTTGTGCACTCATTATTTGAATTTTTAATAATTCAATAATTAGTAAAAGACTTTATTGTTTATTGTTGACCAAAGTAGCCTTGTGGGTCATAGGTACACAAAATATATGCAATATTGGCAAATGACAGATGATTCAAAATGAACTACAATATATAAATGTATGGGTATAAAGAGTTTGTAACAAAGATAGAATCTAACTAACTGAAATTTGAAACATTATTAATGATATTTGACAAATAAATGTTTCCCTTGGTTTTGTAGCTTTCAATAAATATTGACAAAGTTTCTGAATAGTTTTAAAATTATATGCACTGAAAAGTTGAATGAGTTTGAAAAAGGAAGGCTTTTTATGGCTAATATATTTTTTACGTAAATCAGAAAATACGGGAATATCAAAACAAAGTGAAATTCATCTTCAACTTCTTTCCTCTTACAAAATAAACATTTGCGTTCATTTCGGGGTAGGTTTTTATACCTTTCATTTTCATTCATTCATTCGTTTTCAAATTTTGTGCTGTAAAAGAATGTGCAGAAATTCGATATTTACATAACACAGACTTTTCTTTGTATGTCAATCGCTTCACCAGATATTTAAATCAAATGTATCAATTATTTCTTTATACAAAACACATTTTGACGAGCTTTCAAAAGCACTATAACAACTTTGTATAAATGCGCCAGTAAGACGCTGTTCTACAAGAAAAGAAAGTTGTTTAACATTACCAACTTCTTGTTATCCCAATAACTTTCAAGACCTAAACAATATAGTTCATTTCTAACTGCACTTAACCGGTTTGTACAATTTTCCTGTTAGTAGTATAAGAAGCCTAGCTGGCTGGGTCAACTGAGTGCACTTTTAGGTCATGGGGGGATGGCTGGGTCAACTCAGTGCACCCCCGGGGTCAAGGTCAGAGATCTGGAAAAACCCGCACGCGCTCTGCGCGTTCTGAGATCTGGAAATTCCTGAGATGTGAGATGTGAGATCTGGAAAAACCTGCACGCGCTCAGCACTCACCTGGAAAAACCTAGCCATTATGACGTCATACACTGTATAAGTATTGCATGTGTCTGACTTGAAGCTCATTCTGTTCTCAGTTCCATCACCTGTCGACATGGATTCTGCTATGAAAAAACTGTTACATGCCCAACAACTGATGAGATGGAGAAGACGGGCGAAAGAGTTAGAAAGAATTATTTACAACAATAAACACAGAGAATTAGCGCTCAGAAAAAGAAATGCGAGAATATTAGATAGAATGCAGAGAGCCCAAGTCCAACAAGAACAACAAAGGACTGTGTCGGATGAAGAACCACACTCATCAGCCCATTCACCACCCCGGAAGCCAAAGGCCATTTCCCAATATTATCAAGTGAGACTGAAACAAGCCAAGCATTCCAGAAAATTTAAAGCGCATGAAGATGTCTACAGTGTGAATTTTAAGGAATTTCCAGAGGAGGAAAACAGAGGCTTTGTTCGGCGATTATTTAGAGACATGCTGCAAAATGTCAAATATCAAATGCAGTGTAATCCTAACGATTACCTACGCCTGAACATACGCCATCCTTCTCTGGATTCCGACATTTGGTACGAGTTTACTCAATGTAAACATTTGAACGAGGACGTCATTTTAAACAAAATAGAAGCCGTGCAACAATCCAAGAAAGATTTTAAACTGGGAGACGGGGCCATGGAATTCGACATGTTTCGGGTCAAGTATCCGGAAGGGAGTGGTGGAGACAAAACCAAACATCTGATGGTGAACAAGGAGAGTTTCAAGAAGAGGAAACAATCCATCGTTCAGATCAACAATCCTTGGGATCAATTTTGTTTAGCTCGAGCCATCGTAGTCACCCGGTTATACAGTGAAAAACCTGAACATCCAGACCCCGAATGGGAAAAACGATGGAAACGCATGAGACTAGGAGATACTCAATCATTAAATCAGAAACGAGAAGCTATAGCCCTCATGGAACAAGCCGGGTGTGATATCCATCGGCCTTGTGGACCCGAAGAATGGGGGAAATTACAAGTGTTAGCCCCTCTCTATCGATTGAAAATATTCCAGTTCAAGTCCACCTCCTCTAAACTCACCTTAGAACCCATTTACAAAGGCTGCGGAGAGGGAACTTGTTTAAATGTCCTGTTAGACGATCATCATTACGATGCCATCATATCTATGCCTGGTGTGACGGGCAATCAATACTACTGTGATCATTGCGACGTGGGCTACAGAAACATCACAGACCATCGTACCCAGTGCCCTCACCGATGTAATTTTTGTTTAGCCGACACTCCCTGCCCTGAAGACGGGAGCCGCATTCAATGTAGCCAGTGCCAGGGATTTTTTAAGAGTAGAACTTGCTACGAAAACCATCTACGGCCTCACAGTAAGAATACGGTCACCACCGTATGCAGTTTAATGGGGCGATGCGACCACTGTCAGAAATGGATGTCTAAAAGATTACTCGCTCATCACCAGTGCAAAGGACAGAAACAGTGTAAGATCTGTAAGAAAACCGTAGACACGGATCATCAGTGCTACGTTCAACTCAAGCCCGAGAAAAAGAAGAAGAAGGGCAAAGAGACCTTACAGTTCTACATCTATTTCGATTTCGAATGTACGCAGGAAACCGGCATCCACGTCCCTAACCTGTGTGTGGCACACCGCGTATGTCAACATTGCGGTCACTTACCCATAGAAGATCCCTGTCCTCACTGTCGACACATGGGACCCCGTCAACACTTGTTCCGAGGGCCAGAGACCTTAAGGCAGTTCATGGACTGGTTATTACAACCCACTACAGGAAATAAGAATTCCGCTTTATTACACGACGAGGCCATCATCATCGCCCACAATTTCAAAGGATACGACGGACAGTTCATTTTAAATTACCTGGTTCATACCGCCTGCCTGAAACCTACCGTCATCATGAACGGCAGTAAAATCTTATCCATGCAAATCTGCGGACTGAAATTCATCGATTCCTATAATTTTTTACCTTTTGCCCTGTCCAAGATGCCCTCTGCTTTCGGATTCACCGAACTGAAGAAAGGATATTTTCCACACTTTTTTAATACGGAACACAACCAGAATTACGTGGGGCCTTATCCACCGGCAGCTTACTACAATCCGGACGACATGTCTATTAGTGAACGACAGGCTTTTTATCAATGGTACGAACAACAAGCCGGAAAAGTGTTTGACTTCCAGAAGGAATTTTTAGACTATTGTATTTCAGACGTCGATATTTTACGACGATGCTGTGCTCAGTTTAGAGCCACCCTCAAGAGCTTGGTCCATGTAGACCCCTTCCAGGAATCCATCACTTTTGCCAGTGCGGCCAATTTAGCCTACCGTCGAGGATTCATGCCCAAAGAGACCATTGCCATCATTCCCAACCTGGGGTATCAGCCTGCGCGTCGATATTCCGCCAAAGCCTGTCGGTGGTTAAGCTGGATGAGTCACCAGACCGGATCTCACATCCAACATGCTAGAAACGGGGGAGAAGTCAAGATCGGAAGTTATACCGTCGACGGATACCAGGAAGCCACTCGCACCGTCTACGAATTTTACGGATGCTATTGGCACGGATGCCCCACCTGCTATCCGAATTTACAGACCGAAAGTCATCCTCACCGGACCCAATTTACCTATGAACAATTACACGAGGAAACTTTAAGACGGAGTTCTGTTTTAGAGGAAATGGGGTACTCCCTCCGTAGCATCTGGGAGCACGAATTCGATCAACAGGTACAAAGAGAGGTAACTCTACAGAATTATGTACGAGACCTGGACATTCCAGATCCTTTGAACCCCCGAGACGCCCTGTACGGAGGTCGGACTAATGCCACTAAATTATATTGTGAGGAGGGGGACATGAGATACGTGGACGTCTGTTCCTTATACCCTTACGTATTAAAACACAGACCTTTCCCCCTAGGCCATCCTCAGATCATAACAGACCAATTCCAGGACGTGAGAACTTATTTCGGCCTCATTCACTGTCGGGTCCTACCCCCCCCCCCCCCCCGAGGCCTCTATCACCCCGTTTTACCTTATCGCACGGGAGGCAAGTTATTGTTTCCCTTATGTCGAACGTGTGCGGAACGACAGGACTCTACCTCTAAACATCGATGTCAACACGCAGACCAGGAACGCAGTCTTACGGGTACCTGGGTGACTACAGAATTACATAAAGCCCTGGACATGGGATATACCTTAGAGCGGATTTACGAGGTTTGGCATTTTTCACAAAGCAGTCGAGATTTATTCAGATCTTACATCGATACCTTCTTAAAGATCAAACAGGAAGCTTCTGGATTCCCACCTGATTGTCAGACGGAGGAACAGAAACTAGATTACATTCGTAAAGTCTTAGACAGAGAAGGGATCAGGATGGACCTGTTAAGTATAGAAAAAAATCCGGTGCTAAGAACGATAGCCAAACTCTTTTTAAATTGCTTGTGTGGAAAATTCGCTCAACGCCTGTTATTACCTAAAACTCGATACTTGACCGAAGAAGAGGAACTACAACAACTCTTACAAGATTCGACCATTGACATCAAAGGGATAGAACTCTTAGAAAATAAAGAGCAGGCCGAATCGGACATGATGCTGGTCAATTATCAAGAGAAACAGGAATTCGTGGAAGAGTGTCCCTTCGGAAACGTGGTACTGGCCTGTTTCACTACCGCCCATGCCCGATTACACCTCTACGAGACTTTACAACCTTTGGGAGATCGGGTCCTTTATTTCGACACGGACAGTATCATATACCAACATGAGGAGGGACAATTTAATCCTACCCTTGGCAACAGTTTAGGAGAATGGACAGACGAATTAGACGGGGACCACATTATCAAATTCATGTCAGGAGGCCCCAAAAATTATGCTTACCTCACCGCCAAGGGAAAATCCATGTGTAAAGTCAAAGGATTGACTCTCAATTATCGGGCCTCTCAGATCGTGTCACCAGAGACTTTAGAAAAAATGCTCCAGAAAGAAATTGACGAAATCCAAGTCTCGTATCCCTACAAAATACAGAGGACTCGTCAACATGAAGTCAAGACAATACCTTTAGAAAAACAATATAGAATTGTCTATGATAAGAGACAATTGATGGAAGATTATAACACTTTACCTTATGGTTATTAAAAAAAAAAAACAAAAAAAAAAAAAACTGTATTTTAAGTGTTGTTGTTATTTTATGGGGAAACCCCCCCCCCCCCCAAAAATGAGGGGTTATAAAAAGGGGTGGAAAATAATATAACACTTCAGTCATGGCTGGTGTTGATAAGGAGCCAGACTACCTTCCTGTTTACCCTAAATATGCTCTGCTCTTAAAGAGAGAAGCTACCTTTGATGATCGATGGCCCGATTCTTTAAAAGGATTAATACCCTACCTAGCCAAAGCCGGATTTTATTACAGAGGAGTGAGTGATAAGACCATCTGTTTTCATTGTGGTATGACTTTAAACCTCTGGGAACCTACAGACGATCCTTATGTAGAACATGCTTATTGGAACCCTAATTGTCCTTACATCAATACCTATAAAGGACGTGAGTGGGTGATGATCGTATTCATTAACCATTTACTCCGGGTGGGATACAAACCTTCACCTGAAATCAAACCTCTACTAGACCAAACCTCTACAGAGATCCAGGCCACAGGAAAATGTCACATTTGTTTAGAGAGAGAATTACAAATGGCTTTACTCCCTTGCGGACACGTATGTTGCTGTTATTTATGTGCTCCCACCTTCCGGTATTGCCCCATCTGTCGAGCCGATGTGAAGAGAACCCAGCGTATATTTCTGTGTTGACTATGAATAAAAAGGATTGAAACCCTATTTTTCTCTTCATTTGTCATCATGCAACCTGAGGAGACACTCCCGTCTTTTCAATTGAAACACGAATTTACCATGGTGGTAGCAGGACCTTCTAAATCGGGGAAAACGGAATTTGTCAAGAAATTGGTGGAAAATTTACATTGGATTACCCCCATGCCACAAAAAATTGTCTGGTGTTATCGGGAATGGCAACCTGCTTACACTACTTTAACAGATCGGGTCTCCTTCATTCGAAATATTCCAGAAGACGATGAGAAATTAGTGGCCAATATAACTATTCCTCACTTACTCATTTTTGACGACATGATGGGAGGAAAAGCCATCGAATCGATCGTGGATTGGTTTACCCGTAAAGCGCATCATCGGAATACCAGTGTGATTTACATCACTCAGAACTTATTTGATCGAGCACCACAGCATCGCACCATTAGTTTGAATGCTCATTATTTAGTGTTGTTTAAAAATCCCAGAGACAAATCTCAAATCAGTGTCTTGAGTCGACAGTTAGCCTTACCTCATTTGATGTCGGCCTATCAAGAAGCCACCAGTGTTCCTCACGGGTATCTCCTGGTGGACTTGAATCCACAGACCCCAGACGAATACAGATTGAGAAGTCGATTGTTTGAATGGTTGACTGTACACATGCCACAAGAGTATAAATAAAAATGTACCAACATTACACTTGTCATTCATCATTATACAGTCGTCATGGGTCGACCTCTCTCGGCCAAGAGTAAATTAGTGAAAACTTTACGACGTTTACAGCGGGAACGAGATCCTGCCAAGCGAGCCCATTTAATCGAATTAGGGCGTAAAGCCTTATTGAATTGGTTTGCTATGGGAGCTCGAAATTTGATACGTGGGGTCTTACCCATCAATAAACAGACTCAAAAGTTTATTAATAATCATCGTCAAGATTTAAGCATCATAGCCGATAAGTCGGCGAGTGATCAAGACAGAAAAAATGCCATTTTAAAACGCGGAGGAGCCGGATTTCTAGGCGGAGTCATCATTCGTCATTTATTTAAATGGAATGCACCTAAGAAACGACGTGTCCGTCGTTTGAAAAGTGTGGTAGTCAGAGTCGATAATAAGAAACAAAGAGTGTTTCCCGATTGGATGGTGAGAGTAGGAGGAGCAGCTCAAAAGACCAGAAAGAAGAGAAAACCTCCTAAGAGAAAACCTCAAAAGAGAAAACCTACTCAAAGAAAAGCCCCTGGTGGTAGAAAGAAAAAAAAAACGACTCCCAAGACTCCAGCTCAACGAAAAGCCATGCCCGAAAGTCTGAAAAACGAAATCAATCAGTATTATAAGGAACAAAGACAAAAAACTATTGGGGAGTTATTAAAGAAACAAGCTGAAATGAGAATGGATCGTCCTATGGGGCCCATAGGCAGTCAAAGAGCTACCGATTTAGAAGTGTTTCCTCGAGTCAATGTGGGAATTCCCTCTCCTAGAATTAAAGTCCCCATTCACACTCCTAAAATAGCACGCTTTCAACCTCTGACCGCCTCTACACCTACACTTCCTAAAGGAATGAGATATAAATGTCGATATTGTTCCAAAATCTACGTCACCCAGAAAAATAGAGACAAACACGAGAAGGACAAACACGACATGTATGCTCCTCCTCCTTGAGAGTATAAAAAGGAGAGAAACCTGGGACATGTCCTCATTTTAACCCCAGGATGGCTAAGAAGAAGAAAAGAAGGACTTGCTGTTCTACACGATTAAAACCTCACTGGCCTCTTTTAAGAGTGTTATCTGACCCTCACTATTCCTCTCCATTAAAGACGGGTATTTTAAAACATTGTTCTGGAGATTGTATTCTCAAAATCTGCGAGATCATGTACAACCTATTAAAAGGAGTGTTACCTCTCAATTCGGCTCATAAACGAAAACTAGCTCCTAAGAAACACATCTTCAGGAGACTGGTCAAACCTCAATCTGTCCATAAACGACGAGCTTTATTACTTCAACAAAAAGGAGGAAACATTTTACCCCTTTTAATCTCAGCAGCACCTTTACTGTTAAGTGCCGGTCAGTCCGTCTATAAAGTCATCAAGAAGAAGAAAAAAAAATGAGTCGTAAAATGGTGTTAGTTCCCGAGGTCTTATTGAACGATCTCAAGGCAAAATTACCCAAACCTCCGGAATTTCAATCCACCATCAGTTTAGGTCAGGAATTGGACGAGATTACAAGACGTGAAGATTTAACCCAGAAGAAAAAGTCGCTTTATATGGCCAGGAACTTCATCGATATAGGAATTATTTACAACAAGCTAGACAGGAACCTATTTCTAAATCTAAAATTTCAGCAGCTCCAGCAGCAGGAGCAGCTCCAGCCCCAGCAGCAGCAGCAGCAGCAGCCCCAGGTGAAATTGACGATGAAATCCTTGAAACAGTGAATAAAAACATGAAAAGAAAAGCTGGATTATTATTAAATCATTTAAAGAAAACCAAGGTGTTGAGTTGGAATAAGGAAGGTGAAATTAGTTATCGAGGTCAAAAAGTTCCCGATTCTAACATTGTGGATTTAATGGCTGATAGTATGAGATCTCGTTCTCGTAAAAACCATCCCCTTCCTAAAGGATTAGATGAATTTGCTCAAGCTTTAAAAGAGACGCGAACTCCTCTGGAATACCTGAGCAATGGAAACCTTATAAAAGCCATGCAGAGACCTGGAAAAATCAGTACTCCTAAAAGTATCCTCAGTGATAGTGAGGACGAGGGCGATAGTGGATTTAAAGATGCTTCTTCTTCATTTTTGACCCCTATTAGTAGACCTGTAGGAGATAGAGGAATAAAAAAATCCACTCCTAGACCTCTGTTAAATTTAGCGAAGGCCATCAAAAAATCTAAATTCAGTCCAAGTTTACCTAAAAAGAGATTAGAACAGATCGACGAAAATTGGCTTTCATTACCTAAGATATGAAAAAAGAACCAGTGGAAGACATTTTAAAAGAGATTTATTATGATCCTAAAAGAGGGTACGGAGGAATACAAGCTTTGTATCGTCAGGTCAGAAGTCTGGGACATAAGATTTCCTTGAAAAAGATACGAGAATGGTTAAAAGAGCAAGATGCGTATACCTTACATAAACCCATTCACAGAAAATTCCGGAGACAACAGACTAGAGTGACGGATATAGACGAACAATGGCAATTAGATTTAGCAGATGTGTCCAGTTTAAAGAAACACAATGACGGTTATACTTTTTTATTGTGTGCCATTGACGTCTTATCTAAATATGCCTGGGTGGTGCCTTTAAAACAGAAAACGGGAAAGGAAATGATTCGAGGATTACGAGAGATTTTTCAACAAGACGGTCGACGTCCCGTCCGCATTCAATCCGATCAAGGAAAAGAATTTACCAATCGAGAATTCTTACAGGCTTTTAAATCCATTCATTTTTTTACCACTCGTAATACGGACACCAAAGCCAGTATCGTGGAACGATTTCAGAGAACTCTCAAAGCACGCATGTGGCGCTATTTCACCCGTCATAAAACCAGACGGTATTTAGAGATCTTACCGGATTTAGTGTATGCTTACAATCACACTTATCATCGCAGTATCCAAAGAGCACCAGCTCAAGTGAATGCTTCTAATGTGTTAAAAGTCTGGAAAACTTTATATGGGAAATCCAATCGGAAACAGTTTCCTAAACCTCAGTTTAAGGAAGGAGATCGGGTACGCATCAGTAAAGCCAAACGCACATTTGAAAAAGGATATTTACCTAACTGGACCACAGAACTGTTTACCATTTCTAAAAGAGTTCCTGGAAGGTATCCTTACGTGTATAGAGTGCAAGATTATAACGGAGAGGAATTAGAAGGGACTTTTTACGAGAAAGAATTACAAAAGATCATTAAAAAAGACGACGTGTACGAAGTGGAGGAAATCTTGGGGTATAAAAAGCGACGCGTAGGGAAAAAAATCATTGAAGAAGTCAAAGTTCGGTGGAAAGGATATCCCCCTAGTTTCGATTCATGGATTCCCCAAACGGATCTCATCCAATAACTCCTCATTGGAAATTTTGTGGAGAGAATGTTCCTCGAGAAGAAATCGTTTATTTCGCACAATTATTGATCTGTGTATCTCTCATCGTCACCAGTGTGGTCATGTTAGCTTTACACGATCCTAATCGAGAATATTGGATGGTATGTGTGAGTTCTTCAGTGGGTTATATCATGCCTAGTCCTACGATGATGCATCATACACCTACCCCTAAGAAGACCACGAATGCACAGAGTTAATGTCTTTTTAAAAAAAATAGATACACCACAGAGTATATATAAAATGG